CGGAGCGCAGCGGAGCGCGCCGTTGCCACACGTAGCAGGTCGGACCGACTCTGAGAGCATTTCCACGCAGCAGGGCTGCCTCCGTGCCTCCCAGCGTACCTGTCTGCCCCTCGCGACCCCAGACGACTGGCTAGTCCAGTCCTGTCAGGGCCCCCCACTACCACTAAATTGGTGTGCCTCGTTGGTCCAGACTAGCTGAGTAATTTGACACTGATTTGAAGTCAGTGGGTCACATGACATGGACGCTATTGAAGAATATTCATAACTTATGAATATAAATAATCATAAAAATTATTACAAAGGATAAAATGTAATAAATATGTCACGTCCGCCACCTCTGGCTCCCTCTAGTGGCAGGACCTCACCCTCCTCCTTTCTTCAGACTGTATTCATGCAGGTGGAGGGCAGATGCAGCTCATCTGCAATCACTGATCAGTTCCAGCTGCGGCGGGAGTGGCCTCCTCATTTTGAAATCCTGCTCTTCATCTAAAAGGCACCAGCAGACCACTACTTGACGCCAGTCCGTTAACTACCTCCAGTTCGTGAGCCCTGGCCAGGTTGTTGGTTCACTTCTCTGACTTATGATTCTGTTTGATAACCCTGTCTCTCCTTGTGTCCGACCCTCTCCACCGCCAGAAGATCCCACCAGCTGCTTTCCATCTGATCCTGTCTCTGCAATCATCCTGTTTGGTTTTCCCATCTTCATCTCCTGCCACCTAAACCCTCACCTGGACCGACTTGCCTCTGGAACATGCCACGCCACCACACCACAGATCCCTGGAGCCCATTCTCTGATTACCCTCATTTTTGTCAGTAAGCCTCGAATCTCGTGCTTAGCTCTGAATGAGCCCCTAGTTTGAGTTTATCCTGATTTGTAGCTTTGGTATAGTGTGATTAGTCCTATTTATAGTTTCTTGCCTTTTGTTTGGTATAAGTTTTCCACCAGCCCATTTGAGAGCACTGGTTGTTTTTAGTTCTGAGTATACGGTTCCTCGAACCCTAAAACCCTTCTGTTTAATAAATCCTTTTTCTTGTATGCACATCTGGCTGCCGAGTCTTTGTCCTTGTTTGAGTCTCTGAACCTGATCCGTGACAAAATAAGGGTGTGCCTTATCTGTCAAGTGTAGTTGAATAATTTGACACTGATTTGGAGTCAGTGTGTCACATGACCTGCAAGCTATTGAAGAATGTTCATAATTTATGAATATAATAATTCATAAAAAATATTACAAAGGCTAAAATTGAAAATAAATTGCTGTCTCTCATCTGTCCAGTGCAGTTCAATATATCCACACTGGTTTTTAGTCACGAGGTCACAAAATAGAAAATGTATTAATTTTTATTTCTCAAGAGAAATTCGTTGACGGTCCCTAAGTGAAATGTCGCTGGTTGGGTGGCGATGCAGCCGAGAGGAGCGAGCCAAAGTCTGAGTCCGTAAATCGGATCAACTGTGAGCAAGACGCCGCTGACTACGCGGAGCGCGAATATCCAATATCCAACTTCAAACTAATTTCACCACGGTGGGCAGGGGCTGAGGCTGCAGGGACATGACAGTGTCTATGTTCAGCATAAGGCGCCCAGGATTGTAAGATGCATTAAGGAAAGCAACAGAGTTCGGTAAATCAAACTTTATTTAACTCAGTTGTAACAAGTGCCGGTACAGAAAAATATATTATTTATTCCTCTTCCACAAACCCATCAAATTCTTCATCTTCAGTCTCTGAATTAAACAGCTGTGCGATGTCGGCATCAAACTTGTCCGGATCCCGCTCTTCATCATCGGAGTCAGACTCGTTGCCGGTACTTGGCTGTTCGGTGATGATTCCAGCTTTACAAATGTATTGTAATATAATGTTGAAGCACCGTATGTATTACGTATAAAAAGTGGCGGGGTTAAGCGTACTAAATACTGTTGTCTGATTGGTTTATTGTTGCCAGCATGTACTCCGGGCCAGATGTTGTGCCGAAAAAAGCACCCCTGCCGGAAAAAGCACCCCCTCTCAAGGAGCGCAGTGACAGCCATTCGCCAGTAGATAAAAATAAAAGAAAGCAATATTACTTAAATATGTGTCCGTACAGGGTCACGTGGAAATAATGAGAACAGGGACAGATTTGGTCTGAGCTTCAAAATGCACCCTTCCAGATTCTCTGGGGGAGGGAGGTAGGGCTGGGGCGCATGTTCTGGCAGTGGGGTCTGCTGGAATATGGACCCCCCTCTATTTCTGACCCCAAAGGACTTAAAGCCACCAAATTCACAACATTGATTGATGATTATGGTCTGAGCATAATCTGAAAAGTTAAAAATGCTGGGACCAACAGGGACAGGTTTATATATGATATACTACAATTTGTTATTTCAGACAGGACACTTTGTCAGATTTTAACCATTTATTTGGGATCACATACATTGAGTTTGGCGGTGACTCTGCTCGTGATGCTCTGGAACAATCTGAGCAAGCATGACACAAATAATCCCTGAGATCACAAACCCCAAAACAGCGCTCCGAGGGAGCAGATTAGCAGAGTCACCCTGAATGAAGTGGACTTGGGAAAATTAACCTATGAGTCACATTTCCTTTGAATTTGGCCACCCGCAACCATCACATCTGAGTGCAGGAAAATGTTCATGTGCTGCGAAGATGACAAGAATTAATTGCGTAGATTAGGAAGACCACGGAGGTGGAGGCAAGTGAACCAGGACCTGGACAGGGCCTTCCGGAGTCCATGTTGCTGAGGCTCATTTCAGCTCGCGTTGGTTAACCATCCGGTCATGAATCATAAAAGAGAAAGGACAAAAGCATATTAACCCTTTACCATTCTGGGTCATTTCGATGCAACCGCCTGAAGAATGACATCTCCAAATTAAAATGAATGCTGTTACTGATCCTTATGGAGTGTATATAAAGTTTGACCTTTGTTGTAAAGATAACACTCTAGTTTTTGGCACAGCAGTCACAATCATCCAAGGTGCAACCAGTAAAAGTTATTCCATTTCAATCATCACTCATATTTCAAAACTGAAAACAATATCTGTAAAACTGATAATCTGACATCAGCTTTTATACTGGTATGTTCATGCGTTTAATTGAGGGACTTTTGTTTTTTCCACATCTATCCAAATTGGACACCACTGAACATGTCAGGAAAAAGTTCAATCTCTTTTGAATGCTTGAACCTACAGACATCAGTGAGGGCTCCACTGAAAGCTTGTACCCAGAGGAATCCATATCTGGACACAGAGTCACTATTAGTTATAGAAATTCATGTCATAAAAACTAAATAAAATATATATTTCTCATAAAAAACAAGTGTTATGGGCAAGTTTAAATATATATTTACAATTCACACTAACACTGCAAACTGTATGTTTACTGTATAACTCAAACTGTACACATTCTCAGCACTACGACACTCACTTGTTTTCTATGAGCCGCTCCTTATAACAGCCTCTGTCTGAAGAAAGCACACAGATATGCTGCTGTCTCGACTTGTGCAGCCTCCATCACTTCCCCTGTTGTGTATTTTCTCTTTTCTGTACGTTTTGCCGTGTTTTTGTGCCCCAAAACTGTCCCCACACTATCCCATAACTAACCAGATGGGGGACTGATGCATTACTCACATTTTACGCACCACTTCCCATGAGCCACTGCTTGCGGCTGCCACGGCCGTCAGACACAAAGAACCCTGCCTTCCAACACGTCCACGTGTTCGTCTGCTCATTGGCTACAAGTTTACAGCGTCCATTGGCTCTTCCGGCTGTCACTAACCCACCACAACCCTCATATTGGCCAAACTAGGTGTCAATCAAAAGCTAAGACCTCCATCTAGACACCTGTAGCACTTCAGCGTGTTCTTAAATAGATTCTGCCTTGGCCACTAGAGAGGTGGTAAAGAAACCATTGAGCTTGGCGGTGACTCTGCTCAAGTTACTCTGGACTAAATGAGTTAGCATGACACAGACAGTCCCTGAGATCACTAGATCCCCAAAACTGCGCTCCTATAGGGAGCGGATGAGTGGAGTCATGGCCTGTGAAATGATTAGTATGAATGGAGCAGCTATGTGTGGCGACATCATGTCGCATTTCACTCTGAACTCTGGGAGTATCCAAGACTTTCTCAACTGTGTGCGAGAGCAGGCAGAGAACATGCGAACTGGGCGTTACAGTGCCCTGATCCAGAGGAACATTCTATGTGTAAATATGTGTGGGAAATCAAGCATGACGTGTGCTCTAGGTCCTCGGTGGGCGGTCCTACTAGATAGAATTGCCCCCAGCTGGGAAACATTACGCACCTGGCAGCGCACTGATTAGAATGATTGTAAAGAAATATTTCATGATAGGAAATGTTACCTTCGATGAAACAGGATTACTGCCAATAGGATTTATTCATAACTACGAATTACATGCGCTACTCGTAGCTTTTTGGGTTGACAATATTTCGTTAGTATCAGGGAAAATGTAACGTTGATATGCTCCGGAGCTCAGCGACCCATAGCCTGGATTGTCAATGATGGAGCGACAGAAGCTGCAGTAGTGGCTGCACCAATGCAGAGAGAATGAGTCGTGTACTGCTTGGGAGAGAGTCCACATCGTTGGCACAGGATCCGAAGGCTAGCTGCTGATTGGTGCCTGCAGTGCTCAGACGGGTGAGACTTAATTACTTTGGAAATAATGAAACAGTATTTTCTAATGTCAGAATAGTCCAAGATGACCAAGGATCGAGTTGCCGCTTTTGAAACACACAGCAGTATACAGTTTGTTTTAAGCACCAGGCAGGACAGACTGACAGCCACTGAAGTTATAAAAGTATTACATTTCACCAATGCAGCTAACGTAGCAGCTGCTCATCCCTGGTTTAAAGTGACGGCTAAACAGCTTCATGATTAACTGGCACAAGTGAAACCAGACGATTTTTTTTTTTTTTTTAAACTCTAATGTTCTCAAAATTGGTCTCAATCTGGAGCCTTGGCCCAGAGGACTGGAATTGTTGGTGCATCAGGCCTCTGTTCATGATCATGGTCATCTCTACACTGCTATAGGTCATGTTGCACCTCCACACCTTCAATTGTACTATTTGATAATCCGTATAAATGTAAATAAAAATATATCTGCACCCTCAATATTCTTGTTAACAAACCACAGTTTTTATGGTTTTTATTAAAGTTAACTTTATTCTTCACTCCACAACTTTTGAATTTTATCTATTAGCTCCAACAGCTACCTTAAACAGTCATGGCACTGTCCTATGAAGGCCTTCAATCTTTATTCGTTTTCTTAAACTATTTAAAAACTGATCTTTAAACACGGCCATCAAGACTTTCCTCCACAGCCTGACTGGATGAGCTAACCAGAACTAAGGAGATTGATATTACCTGCCAGTATCTAGCTACACAGGTGAGGGTGAAGGAAACGTGCCACGCCAGCGGGGTCACGGTGCTGCGGTGGATCGGCTGTGACGTCACTCTAGGCGGAGACAGCGGACTGACCCGGAAGTTGTACAGCAGGTCACGCACGCTGAGGATCCTGGATCAGGGCTTGAAAAGAGTTCATGATGAGTAGAGAAGAGATTGGTGCCTGGTGGAAACTCGACGAGGGGAGATGTGGTGTGAGGACGCTGGAGCTGGATGAAGGTGGTGAAACTGGCTGTTTCAGGAGGAGCTGGAGCTGGATGAAGGTGGTGAAACTGGCTGTTTCAGGAGGAGCTGGAGCTGGATGAAGGTGGTGAAACTGGCTGTTTCAGGAGGAGCTGGAGCTGGTGGACCGATGGAATTAATAATAATAATAATAATTCATTTTATTTGTATAGCGCTTTTCAAAAACTCAAAGACGCTTCACAGGATAAAAGCAACGAAATAAAAGCATTAAACAACAAGCAATAAATACAAAGGTTGACAGTATAAAAATACAGCAAACAGGTGAAAAAATAAAATATAAAAAACAAACAAAACAACAACAAAAAAAGTAAATATCGAAATAAAGCTGAGGCCTAGGTGGGGAAAGCGGAGCGGAACAGATGTGTTTTTAATTTACGTTTGAATATTGCTGGGTCTGAGGTGTCTCGTATATGTTGTGTCGGGAGTTCCAGAGGGTGGGGGCGGCGACAGAAAAGGCCCTATCCCCCCAGGTTCGGTGCTTGGTCCTGGGAACGATCAAGAGTTTGGATTTTTCGGAACGGAGGGTACGTGAAGGGGTGTAGGGATGGAGCATGTCTTTGAGGTAAGAGGGGGCCTGATTATTGAGCGCTTTGTGGGTGAGAAGAAGGATTTTGAAGTTGATACGGAATGGGATGGGAAGCCAGTGAAGGTTTTGAAGAAGAGCTGGGATGTCCGACGCTTCCGATGTGGATTTGAAGCATACTGGTGACGCCGAGGCAGATCAAAAGTTCATTGGACTTAGGTCACGTGACGCTGTTCCTGATTTTTACTTCTGAGGATGATGAAGGCGATTTCCAGAGTAATGGTGCTTCAACAATGCTTCACATTTAAGACACGTCATCGGCGACTTCTGCAGGCAGGTCCGCTTTGGTTTGAACGCTGCGATCCACGTTGAAGACGGATCGGCGATTAAGGTCAGAACAAATAAAACACTGAGTTTCACATAACCTGCCTGAAGGATCTCTGAGACGAGGTGAACAGCAGCGAGAGCTGGAGCAGCAGCGATGTGGTGAGTGTGAAGCGGGAAGAATGAATGAACGCTCCCTCAGTTATAAAGCAGCTAAGTGGGTGGGCTGGACTTGAGTGATGTACTATTGGACAGGAGGGGCCATGTGACCGCCTGACTCCGTGCCTGTCTGAACTAACGCGAAGCTCTATTGTTTTGAAATGACGTGCAGTAGAAAATAGGCTTTTTGTAGCCACTACTGCTGTGAAACTGAGTTGAGTCATGCAAATTTAAAGACCTCATCTTTCTTGCCAAATTTCTGCACTGGTTCTTGTTTCTTTGCACAGGTTGCACTTCATGTTTTGAGGATTAACCCAGATTGAATTTATTGCTGTTGTTATTGTTCTAAAAAGGTGTTTGCACATTTCGTTATATTTTTATTTGAGAATTCAGTCTGATGGAGTTGAAATTGAAGTTATGTTCTTATTTGCAGAGCAGACAGAGTGTTAAAGGTAAACTTGACCCATTTTCTAATAATTTTGTTGGGGTGGGGGGGCCTGAAATTTTTTCCTCTTACAAAGGGGGCCGCGACAGAAAAAGTTTGAGAACCACTGGCTTAGTCATTAGGAGCTTTGTATGTGAGCAGAAGGATTTAAAAAATCTGGTTAAACAGTGTGTTTCTAAGATGTCTAGCGTCAAAAAGAATATCTTCAGTTTTGTCTGAATTTAGATGAAGATAATTGCAAGTATTCCAGGTCTGTATGTCTTTAAGACATGCTTCATGTTTTTTAGCTGATTTATTTCATCTGGCTTCATAGATAAATATAGCTGGGCATCATCTGCATAACAATGGACATTTACGCAGTGCTTCCTAATGATACTGCCTAAAGGGAACATGTACAAGGTAAATAATATAGGTCCTACCACAGAGGCCTGTGGAACTCCATAACTAACTCTGCTGTGGGTGGAAAAATCATCATTAACATGAACAGACTGGAATCTGTCTGATAAATATGATTTAAACCAGTTTAGTGCAGTTCCTTTAA